GTGGGCTTCTGAAACTGCAGCTCTTAGAGGAGTAGAAAGCCTCCTTGTTCTCCTGCAGAGCGGCTGGTGGGTTTGAACTGAAGACCATGGGGTTAGCAGCCTAATGTGTAACCCACTCCCCCACCAGGGCTCCATCCTCAAACTCCCCCCTGGCTCAAGCCCGGCCCTGGTTGTTACGTGCCACTGGGTGGATTCTTATAGGGTACCAGCGCCCACACTCGAATGGGGCAGCCAAGGGCGGTTGTGTCATGGAGGGGTGAAATTAAAGAGACATCAGACAAGATAAGGCATGCAAAGGCTCTCCTCCGGGACTCCCATGACTTCAGGAGCCAGATCTGAGCAGAGAGAGAATATATTTCCGACCAAGGCTTATATACTCTGGGGGGTGGGAGGATGGGTGTCACATGCAAGCCCCCCTAATTACAAGTAACCACATACATAAGGTGGGCTGCACCCTAACCCTAAAGGTCCCTGAGTACATTGGAGGAGTAACCTAAACCAGTCTGAGGCAGGTAATAGGGAGTGGCTGTCTTCCGGGCCCAGAGAGCAATATCACACGTCTGCTCCTGTAGTTAAAATTGCCAAATAGATAGCAGTCAGCCATGTGCTTGTAAGAGGTAACCTTAAGGCAGCAGTATGATGGGAGGATATAGTGGGTGTATTAGTCCAGGTAGATTAGAGAAATAAATCCAGGGAGACTCATGTGTATAAGAAAGATGTTTATATACAAGAGCAATTGAATATTGAGAAAACATCCCAGCCCAGTCCAGAGCAATTTCATAAGTCCAACATTAGCCCAGATGTTCCAATATCAATCTATCAAGTCCTCTTCTGACTCATGAAACACATGCAATGATGCCGAATGTGGGAAGATCACAGGCCAGTGGGTGCAAAGTCTTGTGGATCCAGTGGTGATGGAAGCATCTCAGCACCGGCAGGGGTCTCCACGTGGCTCCTCTGGCTCGAGGTCTAGCGTAGTTCCATGTGTCTTGTCAGTGGAGCATCTCTCAGTAAGTGAGCAGAGAAATTGTGTCTTCCACATCCTAGGAGGAAAAGCCAGATTTCCCAGAATCCTCAGGGGAAGGCCATGCCCACGCAGAGGCCTCATTGGCTATGACCCGATTGACAGACTAGACTCCATCCCTTCACTCTTAATCCCCTCAAGTCCCAAATTGACCCCAGGTTATGTAACTACCACACTGGGGAACAATATTAATGTGATTGGGACTCACCAACTCCCCAGGGTGAAGGCCTCCCTCCACCCCAGAAACCCAGCCTGCCCGGCTTCTTCATATGGGACAGAGCTTCTCAACCTTCCTAATGCTGCGACACTTTTTTAAAATTATTTTATTGGGGGCTCGTACAATTTGTATCACAATCCATACATACATCCATTGTGTCAAGCACATACGTACATTTGTTGCCCTCATCAGTCTCAAAATGTTTGCCTCCCACTTTAGCCCTTAATATCAGTTGCTCATTTCCCCCCTCCCTCCCCTTCCCCACGCCCTCATGAACCCTTCATAATTCATAACTTATAGTTTTGTCATAAGTTACACTGTCTGACATCTCCCCCCACCTCTTCTCTGCTGTCTCTTCCCCATGGAGGAGGCAATACTTAGATTCTTATAATCGGTTCCCCCTTTCTACCCCACATTCCCTTCACCCTCCAGGCATCGCCCCTCTCACCACTGGTCCTG